TCATTGGTTGTTATGGATCTGTTTAAATTATTTATGTCATTTTGGGTTAATTTTGGTAGGCTGTACATACCTAGAAATTTATTCATTTCTTTTAGATTTTCTAGTTTAGTGGAATATAGATTTTTAAAGTATATCCTTATGGTTTTCTCAATTTCCTCTGGATCTGTTGTAATATTTCCTCTTTACCTCTGTGTTAATTTTACCTCTGCTTAATTTGGCTAAAAGTTTGTCAATTTTGTTAATCTGTTCAAAGAACTAATTCTTTGTTTCATTGATTTTTATTTTTTGTAGTCTTCTTTTTCATTAATTTCAGCCTGATTTTATCTTTTCATTTACTTTTTTTAATTTAAAATTTTAATTTATTATTTTATGTGTGTCAGTGTATTGCCTATATGTATATAAGTGCATCTGTGTTGTGCAGTGCCCCTGTATGTCAGAAAACAGCTGGAACTGGAGTTGTGGACAGTTGTTAGCTTCCATGTTGGTGTTGGAATTTGAACCGGGGTCCTCTACAAGAACAGTCAGTGCTCTAAACCTTTGAGCCATCTCTCCAGGTCCCTGACTACTTTTTTTTTTTTTTTTTTTTTTTTTTTTTTTTGTCTTTTTTGAGACAGGGTCTCCCTATAGCCTTAGCTGGCCTGGAACTCACTGTGTAGACCAGGCTGGCCTTGAGCTCACAGAGATCTGCCTGCCTCTGCCTCCTGAGTCCTGGGACTAAAGGCATGTGCCACCACTCCTGGCTCCGCCTACTCATTTTAGTTGTTGTTTGTTCTTGGTTTTCTAAGGCTTTCAGGTACATCATTAATTTATACAAGATATTTTAAATTTTCTAGTATAGTCACAATGCTATAAATATTCCTCTTAGGATGCCTCCATTGTGTCCCAAAGGTTTTGGTATGTTGTGTTTTCATTTTCATTCAATTCTAAGAAATTTTAAATTTCCTTCTCCCGTGATCCAGTTTTTATTCGGTAATGTTTTGTTTAGCTTTCATGAATTTGTGTACCTTTTTTCCCATTTCTGTGAGTATCTAGCTTTATTTTGTGGTTGGATAGACTACAAAGTGATACTTGAATTTTCATAAATTTGTAGAGACTTGCTTTATGTCCTATACTATGTGGTCAATTTTGAAACAGTTCCATGGGCTTCTGAGTGGAAAGTGTATTCTTTGGTGTTTGGGTAGAATGTCCTGTAGATATCTATAAAGTCCATTAATTTATGGTGTTGTATAATTCTAGGGTTTCTCTGTTTTTGTCTGGTTGATCTGTCTATTATGACAGCATGGTATTGAAGTCACCACTATGGGGCAGATTTCTTGGAGTCAGCAGATTGATGGATTCTGTTTTCTAATCCAGTCAGTTATTTTGTGTTTTTTTCTGGGAAGTTGAGACTATTAATACTGAGGGTTGTTATTGACTGGTGTTTATTAATTTCTGTTACGTTGGTGTTGTAGTGCCATTTTCTTATTCTTTTGGTTGACCGTTTGGACTAATTTATTTATTCTCTGTGCATTTTGAGAGTGTTTAATTTTTTCTTTTGGCTGAAATATTCCATTGAATATTTTCTACCTGATTTTGTGGACATAAATTCCTTAAATCTGTTTTTATCATGGAAAGTTTTTCTTTCTCTTTCAATTACAACTGATAGTTTTGCTAGATATAGTCATCTAGTGTGAGATATATGTTCATTCATGGTTTCTGTGATACTGGTCCATGCCCTTTTGCCTTTCATAGTCTCCATTGAAAAGTCAGCTGTTATTCTAATGGGCATGATGGGGGAGTTTCTTTTCTGGTCCTGTCTACTTGGTGTTCTGCATGTCTCTTGTACCTTGGTAAGTATTTCCCTAGCTTTGGGAAATTTTTTTCTATGTTTTCATTAAAAATATTTCCTGCACCCTTGACCTGGGTTTCTTCTTCTATGTCTGTGATTCATAGGTTTGGTCTTTTTACAGTGTCCCAGAGGTCTTGTTGCATATTCTGTTCTAGGGTTATTTTGGGTTTGACATTTTCTTTGAGTAATCAGTTTCCCTAAGCTTGTCTTCAAATCTGATAGTCTTTGTTCCATTTCCTCTACTTTCTTTTTGTTTCTTTCCAAATTTTAGCTTTTTGTTTGCTTTCCTGAGTTTTTGATATCAAGGTTTTATTTCAGATTGGCTTTTCTTCAGAGATGCTTTTTATAGAACTTTAGTTTCATGTTTTGAATTGTTTCAGTTATTTCATTCAATTATGTGTTCATGGTCCTAATTGTTTTTTATTTATAGCCTCCTTGAGTTCCTTGAACATATTTATAATTGCTATTTTGAAATCATTGTCTTGTGCATCCTCTTGCTTATCATTCTTAGGAAACACTACTATGGGATTGTTATTTCTGTTGTAGCCCTATCACCTTGGTTATCCATTTTGTTTGTGTTTTTTTGCAGAGATCTGGGCATCTGGACTTTTGTGGTGGTGTTTCTTAGTATGGATAAGTGATCTTGTTCTTGTTTAATGTTCAACAAGATAAGTTCAACTTTTAAGTTGAGGTTCCAGGATTGACTGAACAGAAGTTTGGATCAGGAGGGTGGGATGGGGGCTGCTAGGTGAGCAGGTTAGCTGGTAGATTTAGGTGGGTGTTAGCAAGTTTGGAACATACAGAGCTCAGATGGTGGGGTGCAAGGAGGTCTCAGGGACAGAGTTGAGAACTGAATGTCAGGAGTAGTAGACCTAGACTGGGCTGAGCACTGAGATGGCAGAGAGTGACTCACCCTGCTCAGACTGGAGAGGTGCACAGATTAAGGATAGGATAAGTTCCCCTAAGTCTGAGAAGTAAGATGGCCAGGTACTAGAGGAAGCCTGAGAGGTAAGATGGCCGGGTGCTAGGGAATCTCAGGAATAGAGCTTTCAATGTATTCTTTTTTTTTTTTTTGTCTTTTTGAGACAGGGTCTCCCTGTAGCCCCAGCTGCCCTGGAACTCACTATGTAGAGCAGGCTGGCCTTGAACTCACAAGGATCCACCTGTCTCTGCCTCCCAAGTGCTGGGATTAAAGGCGTGCGCCACCACGCCCAGCTAGAGCTCTCAGTGTATTCTTTATGTATTTATAGATTCATGTTCATGGAACTGGCTCATAATTTCTAACAAGTAAAATGTACAGTGATTTGTACATTTGTGAAATACATAGAATGACAAAATAACAAACATAAGTTTTGAAAATTCATATATCGTCATTAGCTCTAAATGCATATTAGGGATAATTCTCAAGAGTAGATCAGAAAACTAGAATTGGAAAGATTCTCTAAAAGTACTAGAATTGGGAATTATTTTTTTGAGACAAGTTCTCATGTAGCCCAGGCTGGCCTTGAATTTGCTGTGTGGCTGAGAATGATCTGAACTTCTGATTGTTCTGCCTGCGCCTTCTGAGTGCTGGAATTACAGGTGGTGCCAATCATGCCCAAGTTATATGGTGTGGGGAGCGAACATAGGACTTTGTTTGGCAAGCACTGTAACACCTGAGTTGCATCCCCAGCCCAGGAATTTTTTTTTAATTCTATAACCTTTTGTTTTGACAAATGTCAAACATAGAGAAATGAAAGGATGGTACAGGGAATACTTAGCATACTTTTCACTTGTGGTTACCAAGTTTTAACACTTCCTGCCCTTGTTTTAGCTCCGTCACTCAGCTCACACCCAGGCACTCATGCTTTTCTTCTCCTTTTTTGTGTTCGCTTTCTGAAAGTAAGTTATAGTTGTCATGGTATCCCCCCTGAATACTTTGAGTGTGCATCTCTTGAGATGGACATTCTCTGCATCAGTGCTATTGCAGTGTCTCCTTCCTCAACATTAATGTGATATTACCACCTTTATCTAATCTTTAGTCAGATTTCTTCAGTTGTTTTAAGATGTCCTTCCTGGTTGTTTTTTTACATTTTCTTTTGTGGTTTGCACTTCACATGAAGTTCACTGTTCTCTTTAGACCTTTTGGTAGTTTGTTGTGATGTTTATGTTTGGGTTAGATATACTTTGACAAGAATGCTACATTAATGAGGTATAAACTTTTCACTGTGTCATATCAAAAAACCATGGCAGCATGTCCCATTTAGTAATACTAAGTTACTACTTGACAAGAGTTCTTCATTCTAAAGGTGTCTTACTTTGTAATTAAAAAGTATTCCATCATTTTTCTATTACTCTTCTGCAGCCCCAGGATAGTTTCACCTGTGCCCTACAGAAAATCCAAATCACCCAATTGAACTTGTAGAGATAAAAATCACCTGAGTTACATCTCTATTTCTATTTGTTTAACTTTTTATTTTGGGACAGAGTTTTGCTAAGCTGCCCAGGATGGTCTTGCACTTGCAGTCCTGCCTCTCCTCCTAAATAGCTGTGTGTACCACTAAGTCTAATTAACTAAAAAGTCAAGTGGTGACTTTAGTCTTCTTAGCCTAAATTCTTCTGAATGTAAGAGCCCCTCTTTTTAAAAAAAAATTTCAAAGCTATATTCTCATACTGCCTTCTTGATATCCTATATTTTTGGGAGTGAACTCATATTGTAACTGGGAAGAGCTGGAGTGGGGGATACGGGGAGCCCAGGTTCAGGTCTTAGTTCTATAGCTTCTTAGCTTTTTAACCTCGGCTAAATCACTCCATCTCTCGGTGTCTGTTTTCTCATTTAATACTTGTGCTGTCTACTTAGCCAGGGGTGATGGTCACTAGTAGAGGATAGGAATTTACCTGTCACTACAGACAGTAATCTTTAAATTAAGAAACACTGTCATTAGTGTTGTCACTCAAAGTGACATTGTGTTTTATGTATCTTTGTATTTCTACTGCTTGTGTGTTAGTGTGCTGCATTGAGTACTCTAGGTATTGAATAGAATGCTCTCAGAGTCAGTGAAGTAAAATACTGATTGATAAGTAGTAGATTTTGAAGTTGCTCAAAATTTTAGAAAGTCAACTTTAGTTGACCTTAGAAACAGTATTATTTCCTTAAATTTTGAACATCACTCTGTCTAATATTATGCTGTAGGCATGTGCTGACAAGTTGAAAAGAGAACTAGAGTTGTATGGTTGTCCGCCTGATTTTCCGGATGAAGAAGAAGAGGACGAAATCAGTGTTAAAACAGAAGATATAATAATTAAGGATAAAGCTAAAGGGAAAAAGGTTTGTGGTGGTTATTATTTATGTTTTTAAAAAAATATTATTTTTATTTTATGTGTATGAGTGTATTGCCTGCATGTGTGTAAGTGCACCTGTCTTGTGCAATGCCAGCAGAAGTCAGAAGAAGGCATTGGATCCCCTGGAACTGGAGTTATGAATGGCTATCAGCCACCATGTGTGTGCTGGGACTCAAACCGGCTCCTCTGCAGGAGCAGTCTGTGCTCCCGACCTCTGAACCATCTCTCCAGCCCTATTATTTATGTTTTTTGTTTAAAAAAATTATTTATTTTGTTGTATTTTATTTATTATTTTAATTTTATGTGTATGTATGTATTGCCTGCATGTAGGTAAGTGCACCCATGTAGTGCGGTGCCGCAGAAGTCAGGAGGCCATTGTATCCCCTGGAACTGGAGTTATGGACAGTTGTTAGCTGCCTTGTAGGTGCTAGGATTTGAACCCGGGTCTTCTGCAGGAACAGTCAATGTTCTTAACCACTGAGCCATCTCTACAGCCCCTTATTTATTATTTTTATTTTATGTGTATGAGTGTATTGCCTCCATGTATGTGAGTACACTCGTGTCATACAATGCCACGGAGGTCAGAAGAGGGCTTCAGATTCCCATGGAACTGAAGATAAGGAATGGTTCGTAGCTGCCATGTGGATGCTGGGAATTGAACCTGGGTCCTCTGCAAGAGCAGTCAGTGCTCTTAACCGCTGAGCCATCTCTCCAGCCCCTATTATTTATGTTTTAATTATTTTGGCTGTTTTTTTTTTTTTTTTTTTATTAAATGTGTCAGGTTTCGTTGTCCAGTCCCCAATATTAGCACAGTACCTGGCACATAAAGTGTATTTGGTAATTTTAAGAAAGTATCAAATCAAGGTTGGTTAGATGGCTTAGTGGGTAAAGCACTTGTTGGGCAAGCGGGATAACCTCAGTTTGGATTGCCAGAACCCCTGAGAAAGCTGAACTCAATAGAGCACATGTCCATAATCTCAGTGCTCCTACTGCCAAATGGGAGCTGGACACAGTAGAATCCCCAGAAGCTGTTGGCCAGCCAGTCTGCAGTGCACGGAGCATTAAACAGCAGAGACCCTGTCTCAAACAAGCTAGAAGGGAGGATGGATACCTGAGGTTGTCCTCTTTCCTTCAGACCCGAGTCAGGTATCTGAGTTCCTGCACTGGTACACACACGTACATACCATATATACACATACCCACAAAGATAAAGAAGTCTAAAATTCAAAAATTGGCTGTCTGACATTAAAAAATTTTTTTTGATAAAATTTTTGTGTTTCATACAGAACATCTTAATCATCTTTATACCCCCTTCCCCATTGACCCCCTCCCATAGCCCCCTCTTAGAATTCATACATTCTGTCATTTAATGTCTATCATGTCAAGTTAGTGTCCCCAATTGTCCCTCAGTGCAAGTTCATCCACTGAGGTCTAGTCAGCCTATTTAGAATCTCTCTCTTCAAGTATATCAGCTCTTTCTCACCCAGCAGTAATTAGCTGCCAGTAATCTTCGACTAAAATTGGGCCTGCTTTCTATTTCCACAGTTTTGTGCTGGGATTTTGTCTGCTTGAGTTTGCATGGTTCTTGTGCATGCTGACGCCATTGCTGTAGGTTTGGATACGAGTCCCAGGAGCCTGTAGGACTCCGTATGGTCATGCATCTCCTTCCTGATTCTTACAGTTTTTCCACTCCCTCTTTCACAATGGTCCCTGAGCCCTGGGTGGGTGGATTTTAATATAGGAGACCTGTCTGAAGTCCATATTTTGCACATAGTAAGAAATTATATTTGTCTAGGGATGTAACAGTCTTAGGGTTTTCATTAAGATCTATGACTTCTCCAACTATGTGTATTTGGCTAGTTTTACAGTATCACATCTGAGTTTCCTCCCATTGAGTGGGCTCAGCTCTCTGACTTTTTCATTGCCTTTTTTCTTTTCATTTTATCTTAATATAATTTCAGATTTATAGAGAAATTAACGATAGTACACTTTATCATAACCTTCACCCACTTCCACTATTTACATCTTCTATGATACAGTCATAACTCAAAAACTATTTTTATTTTTTGTATGTATGAGTGTTTTTCCTACATGCATGTAAAAAGCACACTGCATGTGTCATGCCTACGGTGGTCAGAAAAGGATGTCAGATCCCCTGGAACTGGAATTACAGATTATTCTTAGCTGCTGTGTAGGTGCTCTGCAAGAGCAGCCAGTGCTCTTAATAGCTGAGCTATCTCTCCAGCCTCAGAAGAATGGTATTCTGAATAGGTCCTGAGTGCTAGGTGTGTTCATTGCCACTGTGGTATTCCTACTGCTTCTATGTCCTCTCTGTGAAGAACAGCAAGAAATTACACACACAGACACATCATGCAGAGTTCTGCGTTCTTTTCTTCTAGTCTATATTCTAGTCTTCATGTGTGTATATGTATATACACATTTTTACATTTGTCTAAACTCTTTTTGGGGGGGCTCTTTTTGAGACAGGGTCATCTTGTAGTCCCAACTGGCCTGGAACTTGCTATGTAGACCAGGCTGGCCTTGAACTCACAGAGATCTACCTATGTTTCCTGAGTGCTGGGATTAAAGGCAAGCGCCACCACACCCAGCTTTGTCTAAACTCTTACTGATATCCCTGACTCCATTTTAGCAATGCAGAGCTCTGATCATAGCTTTTTCCTTTTGCTTATATGTGACTTCTTAACTAAATAATGAGGCACCAGGCTCACACTGTCTGCAGTGTGTTTACTTACTTGTTCAGTCCTACTTTACTAGAAACTAGTAAAATAGTTTCAAAATTGCTGACTTACACATTTAGGAGAAAATGTGATATGAACTAAAGTACAGTCAGTGTTTGTGTGTAGTTATTTTTGTCCTTAGATTCTTGTCAACAGTTTTTCTAAAATCGTTTAGACTACCTCTTTTCTTCCTCAACATTTTCAGTGTGACTATGTTATATATTTGTAATATAGTTAGATATATTTAAAATCTGTATTCTATCTTATATTCCCCCACATCTGATTGAATTAAAAAAAATTTACATGTAGTATATTGTAATTATAATAGTTTGGGTTTTAAGAATGCAGCCTGTTCTCTCACTATAGCCTCACATAGAGCAGTCCATCACACTCAAGTTTCCTGTGCTGCCTGTTTGTAGTTTTTTTAAAATTTCATTTATTATTATTATTTTTATTTTTATTTTATGTGTATGCGTGTATTGCCTGCATGTAGGTAAGTACACCCATGTCATGCAATGCCCACGGATGTCAGAAGAGGCTGTTGGATCCCCTGGGACTGGAGTTACAGACAGTTGTCAACTGCCATTGTGGGTACTGGGATTTGAACCCGGGTCTTCTGCAAGAATAACCAGTCTTCTTAACTGCTGAGCCATCTCTTCAGGCCCCCGTTTGTAGTTTTTAATTACATTTTTTAACTTCAACCCCTGACAGTTGTCTCTCTGATATTTTCCAAATAATGGAAAAGGAGGAGAATTGGGAGTAGTTTTGATGCCATCTCCTTTGTTGTTATTGGGGTCAGTGTCCTAATGGACATCCTTACTTCATACTTCAGAGGACAAAATAGTACCTCTGGTTGCTGTGGTATCCTGATGTGTCAACAGCATTGTTTTAGAATTTTAAAAATTAACAAATGGAACTGGGTGTCAAGGTGCATGGCTTTAATTCTGGAGGCAGAGGCAGGCAGATCTCTATGAGTTTGAGGCCAGCCTGGCCTACAGATCTGCTCCCAGCCAGCCAGAGCTACACATTAGACTGCTCTCTGAAAAGCAGAAAACAATCAAAAAAATTACCAATTGGAATTACTCAAATTACTGTGGTCCTGAAATACTAATACAGTTGTTGATTATTCTTTGTTGTGCTTGTTTATTTTCTTAGAGCAAAGCTGCTGCAAAAGCTGGATCTTCTAAGTATCAGTGGGACATTATGAAATCCCTTGGACTCTCTGATGAAGAGATAGTCAAATTTGCTGAAGCAGAACATTGGCTTGATTATTTTCCACCACTGGCTATTCAGGATCTAAAGAAAATAGGTTTGAAGGTATGCCATCGCCCTCAGTGTGGGGGAAAACCAAAAGCATTGTATTTGTATCATCTAGAAAGTTAGGGAACAACTCTTAAATTTACAATAATAAATTCTGCCTGACTGTCAGATTAGCAACTGGGACTCAAGGTGAGGAAGAAATAATTTAGTATTTGTCTTATTAGAATGGATTTATTAACAATTGGTAGAAAGAGGTTTTATTTAGTGAAGACAACAAAGTTTAACTTGATGAGTATGTGACTATATTATTTTTCCAAAATTTATTATAATCTCATGTTTATTAATGTGTAAGTGTACATATTTTGAGAAACAGTTAAATTATTTTAATTTATATATTTAGTAAATGGAATTAGAAAATTCTTTTTGGTCTTTTTGAAACAGGGTCTCCCTGCAGCTCCAGCTGGCCTGGAACTCACTATGTTGACCAGACTGGCCTTGGACTCACAGAGATCCACCTGCCTCTGTCTCCCAAGTGCTGGGACTGCGGGCGTGCACCACCATGCCCAGCCTTAGAAAATTCTTTTAATAGGGGGCTGGAGAGATGGCGGTTAAGAACACTGGTGGTTCTTGCAGACGACCCAGGTTCAAATCCTAGCACCCACATGGCAGCTAACAGCTGTCCATAAAACTGCATGCAGGCAATACATGCATACACATAAAATAATAAAATAAAATTTTAAAAAAGTTAAAAAAAATTCTTTTACTGGATGATCTAATATGAAGTTGGGGAATAAATAGTAGAAAGCTAAATAATTGATTCATAGGACTTCTTGTTTATAAACATTGTATATTTCTTAAAAATAATCCTTTCCTTTCTCTTATAGGTAGACTGGCGGCGTTCCTTCATCACTACTGACATAAATCCTTACTATGATTCTTTTGTCAGGTGGCAGTTTTTAACACTAAGAGAAAAAAACAAAATCAAATTTGGGAAGAGGCAAGTCTGTTTTCTTTCAGTATAAAAAGTCAAATATAGCCAGGCGTGGTGGTGCGTGCCTTTAATCCAGCACTTGGGAGACAGAAGCAGATGGCTCTCTGTGAGTTCGAGGCCAGCCTGGTCTCCATAGAGAATCCAAGCCAGCTGTGGCTACAGGGAGACCCTGTATCAAAAAGACCAAAAAAAAAAAAAAAAAAAAAAAAAAAAAAAAAAAAATCAAATAATTCTTGCATACAATTCAGTACCCATAACCTATTTACTATCTTCTTTCTGTCTGTCTCTGTCTCTGTCTCCCTCTTTTGTTGTTGTTGGGACAACATTTCATGTAGCCTAGGATGGTTTCCAACTTGGTTTGTAGCTGAGGATGACCTTGAACTCTTGGTCCTCCTGCCTCAAACTCTTAAGTCCTAGGATTAAAGACCTGCACCACCACCCTTGCTGTCTTTTCTCTTTTTTAATATTTTTTTTCTTTTGTTTTATTGTGTCTTTTTCTCTTGTCAGTGTCTTTTATTTTTTAATTTTTTCTGTGGTGCTGGCAGTACTCTATCACTGAGCTGCATTTGCAGCTTCTTGACAGTCAGTGTCTTAATTTCTCTGACCTGTTTTGTTTTTTTGACAACTAGAACCAGAGAGAGTAGAATGATTCTGTTCAGTATTCCAACCAATCAGAAAAATAATCATTTGTGTTTTGGTTTATACTTTTTTCTTGGTCTTTTTGAGACAGGGTCTCCCTGTAACCACAGCTGGCCTGGAATTCACTATGTAGACCAGGATGGCCTTGAACTCACAGAGATCTGCCTCCCGAGTGCTAGGGTTAAAGGCATGTGCCACCATGCCTGGCTTTATAACATATGCTTGTAAGATGTTAGCAACACTGGTAAGTAGATTAGGACATTACTTGAGTAGTATAACAATATTTGTTATTTATTGTTCATTTTTTTAGGTATACCATTTACTCTCCAAAAGATGGACAGCCTTGCATGGATCATGACAGACAAACTGGAGAGGTCATTATCCGTGAGACAAAATAGTTATTGTAATCATTTTTAATATGGCCACACCAATGGCAATCTTTTTGTCAGAATAAAGAATTATTCTAACAATATACCAGTTCATGCTAGAAATTTGAATAAGATCCCTACATAGGTTAGTAAGATTAATCCAAATCTTTTTTTCCTTATAGTTTTGTTTTGTTTATTTGTTTAGGGTGTTGGACCTCAGGAATATACCTTAATCAGATTGAAGGTGCTTGAGCCATACCCTTCCAAATTAAGGTAGGTTTGCTAAAAATTACTGTTTCATCGTTTTTTGGTTTTTTTTTTCCTTTACCCCCCCCCACCCCCCTTCTGTCTGTTTTGTTTGAGACAAGGCTTTACTGTGTAGCTTAGACTGACCTTGAACTTGCTATACTTAGCCTGCCTCAACCCTTCCAGGTGCTGGGATTATAGGCATCACCAAGCTTGACTTGTTTTATCATTTCTGAAGAATCAGATGATTATGAGGGAATCCACATATTTATTATACATATGTGCTTTTTCTTAGTGGCCTGAAAGGTAAAAATACCTTCTTAGTAGCTGCTACCCTCAGACCTGAAACTATGTTTGGACAGACAAACTGTTGGGTTCGTCCTGATATGAAATACATTGGATTTGAGACGGCAAATGGTGATATATTCATTTGTACTCAGAGAGCAGCCAGGAATATGTCATATCAGGGCTTTACTAAGGACAATGGAGTGGTACCTGTTGTGAAGGAATTAATGGGGGAGGTAAGTTGGAGAGCACACATTTTATTTTCATGCATATGGATGACTAGCTTGGGAAAAGAACATTAAGCCCCTCCTGCCTTTTTCTTTTGAGATGGTCTCACTGTGTAGTCTGGCTGGTCTGGACCTTGTTATGTAGACCAGGCTGGCCTCAAACTCAGAGATCTACCTGCCTTTGCCTCCCAAGTGCTGGGAACTGGCTATGTTTTTAAATAGTAGCTTCTTGAGCTTAAAATAGTAATTTTCTTTAAAAATTTCAAGCCTGCAACTCCATTTCTTTACCTTTATACTGATCTTTTTCTTATGCAGGAAATTCTTGGTGCCTCACTTTCTGCACCTTTAACATGCTACAAAGTGATCTATGTTCTCCCAATGCTCACCATTAAGGAGGATAAAGGTAGGCATTTATTTTTAGAAGTACTTTTTAATGATGTTCTGATTGTATTAGTTAATTTCATACTTTCTTTTATAAGGTACTGGTATAGTCACGAGTGTTCCTTCTGATTCCCCGGATGATCTTGCTGCCCTCAGAGACTTGAAGAAAAAGCAAGCAAGTATCTGTTTCATGTCCATGTTTTGAAATCATCATATTAATGAGGTATTGCTAAACTATACTAAGAGACTAAGAGACAAGGCTAAAAAGATACATTCGTCTTTATTTTATGATTTATGTGTATGAGTGTTTTGCCTACATGTATGTAAGAGGACCCAAGGGTGTAATGCCCATGGATGTCAGAAAAGGGTGTCAGGTCCCCTGGAACAGGAGTTACAGACAGCTGTATGTATGGGAATTGTATGGGAATTTTGAAAAATTTATGTGGACATGTATGAGTGTGTGTCCTGCTGTATGCCTTATTCTCTTGAGATAGAGTCTCTCACTGAGCCAGGAACTAGGCTGGTAGCCCACCAGTCCCAGAGAGCCTCTTTTCTCTACTTCCACAGTGCTGGGGTTACTGGTGTGCTTAGATTTTTACATGGGTGCTGGGGATTTGAACTAAAGTCCTCATATTTGTGCAAAAAGTACTTTTACCCACTGAGTAATTTCCCCAGCCCCAGAAAAAAAATACTCATATTCACATTTTCATTATGGCCAAGAAAATGAACTGTAATTGGAGTGATGTCTGTAGGTCTATGTGCATTTTTTACATCTGACTGTGGTTTCATACAGATATGTCCCACCTGCAACTTGCAGACTAAATGTACCCCAGGAGAGCTATGGGTAAGGCTCAACACAATGAATCATACTTGCTTAAAACATTAGATTTTTTTAAACTTTGCGTGTTTGTCAAGCATGAACTGTGTAGGTGACAAACTGTGTCACAAGATCAGAAGTCTAGACACACCTGAAATCCATTCACAGTTTTAAAAGGTCACAAGTCCCCTTTTTTAAAAAATATTTTCTTTATTATTTTTTTATTTTATGTGTGTGAATGTATTGCCTGCACCCGTGTCGTGCAGTGCCTCAGAGGTCAGAAGAAGGCTTTGGATTCCCCTGGACCTGGAGTTAAGGATGGTTTGTAGCTGCCATGTGGGTGCTGGGAATCGAACCTGGGTCCTCTGCAGTCAGTGCTCTTAACCGCTGAGCCATCTCTCCAGCCCCAAGTAACTTCTTTTTTTAAAATTTTATTTTATTTTTTTAAAATTTTATGTGTATGAGTGTATTGCCTGCATGTAAGAGCATCCATGTCATACAGTGCCTGTGGAGGTCAGAAGAGGGTGTTGATTCCCCTGGACTAGAGTTACAGACGGTTGTTAGCTGCCATGTGAAGTGCTGGGAATCAAACCCAGGTCTTCTGCATGAATAGCCAGTGTTCTTACCTGCTCAGTCATCTCTCTAGCCCTATAAGTCCCTTCTTGAAGTATCTGATACAGTTAAAAATTATTCTGGGGACTGGAGGGATGACTCAGCAGTTGAAAGCATTGGCTGTTCTTGCAGAAGACCCAGGTTCAATTCCCAGCACCCACATGGCAGCTAACAACCCTCCGAAACTACAGTTCCATGGGATCTGATACCCTCTCCTGTCCTCCGCTGGCATGGCATGACACAGGTGCACTTAAATACATGCAGGCATAATACTCGTACACATAAAATAATAAATAAATGAAAAACAAAACAAAAAGTATTCTTTTTGGAGAGAAGAACAAATAGTAGGAAAAAAGCTTGAAGACAGGCCCGAGGGAGGTCAAGGCAGGAGGATCTCAAGTGTAAGGTCAATGAGGGCTACAGAGTTAGACCTTGTCTCCAAAAACAAACAAAAAAATTGGAGTTTGCTTTTCTCATTGATTATACCAGTAAAGAATTGAGTATTAGTGTAATTTATGAATTTTTTTGTAGGCCTTAAGAGCAAAGTATGGAATTAGAGATGACATGGTCCTGCCGTTTGAGCCGGTGAGTGCATGGGTGATTCACAAACTTGATAAAAGAAGAGTTTGTATGCTTTCCTTGTAACAAAATTAAATAATTGGTAGAGTTTCACAATAAGTAAGGGAGTTTGCTTAAGGATTTGTCCACTTTAATTTGATAATTTGATAAAAGCAAAAGCAAAACCAAAATCAGTAAGTATTTTCTTACCACCTGGCATTTGCAGTCCTGGAACAACTAACTTTAAAAAAAAATTCTTTTTTTTTGGCGGGGGGCGGGGGGGGGTATGAATATATTGCCTGCATGTATGTAAGTGCACCGATGTCATGCAATGCCTAAGGAGGCCAGAAGAGGGTGTTGAACTCCTGGAAGTGGCCTTAAGGAAGGTTGTTAGCTGCGGTGTGGGTGCTAGGACTCAAACCTGGGTCTTCTGCAAGAGCAGCCAGTGCTCTTAACTGCCGAGCCATCTCTCCAGTCCCACAAAGAACTTCTTTTTTTTTTAAGTATTTTAATTATTTTTTTCATTTTATGTGTATGCATGTATTGCCTGCATGTAGGTAAGTGCACCTGTGTTGTGCAATGCTCGTGGAAGACAGAAGAGCTGTCGGATCCCCTGGAACTTGAGTTATGGACAGTTGTTACCTGGCATGTGGGTGCTGGGATTTGAACCAGGGTCTTCTGCAAGAACAGTCAGTGTTCTTAACCACTGAGCCATCTCTCCAGCCACAGCCACAAACAGCTTTTTAGCATCCAATTTTTTTTTCTTTTTCTTTTTTTGGTCTTTTTGAGACAAGGTCTCCCTGTAATCCCAGCTGTCCTGGACCCCACTCACTATGTAGACCAGGCTGGCCATGAACTCACAGAGATCCGCCTTCCTCTGCCTCCTGAGTGCTGGGATTAAAGGTGTGCGCCACCATGCCTGGCTAAGCATCCAATTTTATACTATTTTTTCTTTCTTAGTATGATTAATTCCATGCCTAGTAAAGACAACATTTTGCCAGGTTACTTATGAATATTTATTTTATAACTGATCTTTTAACAAAATCCTTACAACTCTGCTCAGTCTTTCTTGTTTTCATATTAGTACCTGCAGAGGAAAAATAAAATTGCTAGCAAATGACTCTTTTCTTTTGGTCTTTTTGAGACAGGGTCTCTCTGTAGTGCCAGCTGGCCTGGAACTCAGTATATAGACCAGGCTGGTCTTAAACTCTTAGAGATCTACCTGCCTGCCTCCCGAGTGCTGGGATTAAAGGCATGTGCCACCATGCCTGGCTAGCAAATGACTTTTATAGAGTCTAGAGAGTGAGCGGATAGCTCAGTGGGAGAGTGATTGCTTAGCATGTATGGGGCTCTGGATTTGATCTCTGGTACTGAGGGAAATCTAATGTAAACTGAAAGTAAAACAATCCACAAAAAAAAAGTTATTCATATTGTTTTACTGATTACAGCCTTATTTAGTGAATGGTGTGGCAGCAGGTTGAGAGCTGGGGCAGGTGTGTGGCTGGAGGACTGGGTATGGTTATTCAGGTGGCAATGAGAGAACACATTCACATCTGCATGTGGATTGTCTATTCCTGATGATAATGTTAAATCCAGGGTAACTTACTATCAGAGTCAAAAGAACTATGTGGCTCCTTTGTATCTTCTATTCAGGTGAATATGTTTTTTGCAGGTGCCAGTCCTTGAAATCCCAGGGTTTGGTAATCTTGCTGCTGTTACTATTTGTGATGAGTTAAAAATTCAGAGCCAGAATGACAGAGAAAAACTTGCAGAAGCAAAGGAGAAATTATATCTAAAAGGATTTTATGATGGTGTAAGTTAGACTTTTTCTTGTTTTTAATTTATATGCTGACTTGATGATTTTGACTAAAAAAGGAAAAGAATTCAACATAGTTTTTGTAAAACACTGATTTGTGAATGACTAATATGTTTTATTTCTAAACTAGTTTTTATTATGTCTTTTGATTAGAAACATTTCCAGAATTTCAGTTTTGTGCCCTTTGGGAATTTCTAAGTGAATTTCTTGAGAATATATGTATATATATTCTCAAGAAATTTTAGTGTTTTATTTTCTGTGTATGGGTGTATTGCCTGCATCTGTGTAAGTGCACCAGTGCAGTTCAGTGCCCACAAAGATTAGAAGAGGGTGTTATATCCCCTGGAACTGGAGTTATGGACAGTTTTTAGCTGCCACGTGGGTGCTGGGAATCGAACCTGGGTCCTCTGCAGGAGCAGTCAGTGCTTTTAACTGCTGAGGCATCCTTCCAGCCCTTAAAATTCATATTATTATACATACAACTTTAAAGCTTGATTGCATAAAGAATGCCTTTCCTGCTGGGTGTGGTGGCATATGCATTTAATCCCACTACTTGAGAGGCAGAGGCAGGAGGATCTCTGAGTTTCAGGTCAGCCTGATCTACCGTAGCAAGTTCTAGGCCTGTCAGGGATAAATAGTGATACTCTAAGAATATAAACAAAAATAAGCCAGGCATGGTTGTGCATGCCTTTAATCCCAGCCCTTGGCAGCAGAGGCAGAGACAGGTGGATCTCTGAATTAGAGGCCAGCCTGGTCTACATAGTGAGTTCCAGGCCAACTGGGGCTACAGGGAGACCCCCTGTCTGAAAAAGACCAAAAAAAAAAAGAAAACAAGCAAAAAAGCTTTTCTCTCGTTTTTAATACGGAGTTCATTTTTTGTTTATGTGGTTTTGTTCAGTCTATTAATTTGCTTGTTGATGCCTTCTAAATGTCAAGTGAACCCAAGGAGCCTGTTCTCTCAGCTCTGCCTGTTTGGCTTAGAGTTCTACGGGAAGGAGACTAGGTTAGAGAAAATGAAAATTCAGTTAGATGTTATACACATGAGGTTGAAAAGAATATCAATGGATTTCAAGGTTTTCAAGGATATCAATGATGGTGTTTTTAATTTAAAAATTGGCATGTTGGGGGCTGGAAAGGTGGCTCAGTGGTTAAGAACACTGGTTGTTCTTGCAGAAGACCCAGGTTTGAATCCCAGTACCCACATGGCAACTAACAACTGTCCATAACTCCAGTTCCAGGGGATCTAACAGCCTTTTCTGATGTCCGTGGGCATTGCACGACACGGGTACTCTTACCTCCATGCGGGCAATACATGCATAAACATAATATAAAAATAATAAATAAAATTTCAAAAATTGGTATTTTTTTAAGTGAATTGTGTATTTTGAGTGATAGTGAGAACCAACACTTATA